GCCAACTACATGCTGACAAATTCCTGGGGATTTGAGGGGTGGAGCCTGGAGAGGGTGGGGTTTGCAGAGGGGTGGGACCTCAGACAGGTAGAATGCCATAGACTACACCCTCCAAACCAGCCACTTTGTCCTGGGTAACAATTTCTGCCAATCTCCAGGTGAGGGCTACAGATCACTCAAAATTACAACTGCTCCTCAGGTAGCAGAGATCAGTTCCTCTGGAGAAAACAGTGGACTCTGTCATTATACCCTGCTGAGGTCACCACAGCAAATTGACACTGTTTGCCCAAATCCAGAGCACTCCCCCAGAGCCTCTTTCTAGATCTCGTTGTATTTATTTCCACAACGGGCTTTATTCCTAGTACCATTATAATGGATGAGATCGATGAGATGAAAATGATCATACAGTACTAGAAAATGGTAGAGTATATTGAATAGGTCGTTATACTGATGTTTTATGCTATTATGTCACATTTTTAAGCCATATTCTTACACCATTACGCCATATATATATATTTGCTAAGCTATTACGCTATATCGTTTTTAAATATATACATGTATTCTGATCAAGGAATGTCCTTAATATCTGTAGAATTGCCCTTACATTGTGTTTTTGGTAATTATATTTCCTATGAGTTTTTCCCTATTCCCTTTTTTCTCTGTATCCCCTTAAAAATTAAAATAAAATTAATTTTTTAAAAAAGAACAAAGTTGAGTCCAGTGGCACCTTTAAGGCCAACAATGTCTTATTCTGGGTATAAGCTTTCGTGAGCATTACCCAGAATTAAACTCGGTTGGTCTTAAAGGTGCCACTGGATTCAAACTTTGTTCTGGAATAAATGTTGTCAAGATGCCACTGGGCTTCTGTTTTGAAGTGGTTCGGTCCATTGTGCCCTCTCAGCATTTTGTGAATTCGCTCCCCTTTTGTTCTCTTGCACATCTCAATCAGTCTGAGATGAGCCGGTGTAAATGCCCCTGACCAACACAGTGAGCTTTGCAGTTGGGCTGGCATATCTGAACCCAGGCCTCTCTGGCCTATGCTCAGCACTGACTTGAAGACGGCACATGTGGCTGAGTTTCTTTGGGGGCCTGTCTTCCTTCCCACCCTGGGATGACTTCTGTGTCTTCTCTATTCTGGCATCCCAGTGTATTACTCACCACTCTTCTTCCATGTTCTGTTTTTACAGTACAGTTCCAGGGCCCAATCTACACCCACAGCGAGAACCCTGCCCCGCTGCCTCCCCAGGGGGTGATCGTTCAGCCCGAAATGCATCTCCCCCATCCAGGTAAGGGCTGCCCTGTCACACCTGCTCCTCTGTTTCCTCTCCCCTCCCTAAGTGTATTCTTGTAGGACCTTAGCAGTCTTGAGATATTTAGCTGCGGTGATAAGACGCTTGGATTTCGATCTGCTCAAGACCTTTGAGTCAAAAGAACAGCAAGATAAGAAAGTATTCTTGTAGGCCGCCTTGCTGTGGAGGGGAACTTGCCCCCCCCAGTCATCCCCATCCTGTTGCTCCCCCTTTTACGTTGGATGCATTTGTGCAAATATTTTCTCTGCTGTTGGGGTGTGGGGGGGTTAGGTTCTATGTTGTCAGTTCTAGCAAGCGATAATAGTTTTGTGTTGGGGTGATCTGCGTATAAATGCAGTGATCTGTGAGAGGCGGCTGAGAGGGGAGTGTGTGGTCAGCATGGAAGGCTGGTCTCCCCGTCCTGGAGCACTTACAGCCAGTAAGGTGAATTTTCTCTCTTTCCTGTCCTCCTACCCCATTGTTCATGAAGCCAGCCTTCTGCTTCATCGGCATTAAACTTCTCCCAGCTGATTGTTTTCTTTAATGCATCATTAAAGTTTTGGGCTCCTGACTTGCCATTACACACAGACACACACCCAGCTGCCTTATCTGCATGCCACACAGATGCTCTGCCCCTGAGCCACAGCCGCTCCTGCAGCTGCAGACACAGAACCAAGGCTTGGGATTTAGCAAAGGTGGTGTGGCAGTGCTTTTAACAGCATCCCCTCTTGAAAGAGCCACCAATTTGTTGGGAACGGCAGTGCATCAAAAGAGGGGTTAAAGAGGCCTGTTAAGAGACAGTCACGTTTTCCCCCTTGGCGGGTGGCTCCCCTTGGATCAGATCGAAGAAGAGGTGCATGTGAAGTGCTCTTAGAAAGGTGCTCCAGCCGACTTGCTTGTCGGGCTGAAGGTTTTTGTCTGGTAAAATACTCCCCTTTACGATTCTTGCATGTGGCATTTTGGTTTCAGAAGACCCTGATCGCCTGTTTCTGTTTTTTCCTCTTTTGCCAGGGTTGCACCCCCACCAGGCACCTGCGCCATTGACTAACCCCGGCTTGTTTCCTCCTGTCTCCATGCCTCCCGGGCAGCAGCCCCCACCCCCACCCCAGCAGCTGCTGGCGCCGACTTACTTCTCTCCTCCTCCAGGAGTGATGAATTTTGGCAATCCCAGTTACCCTTACCCTCCGGGAGCTCTCCCGCCACCCCCGCCTCCTCATCTCTACCCCAACGCTCAAGTAAGTTGCCTCTGACCCAGCCTCGGCTTTCAGACACTGAGACCCAGAAGCGAGAAGCCAGGTGGTTTGTTTTTTGCATATACCCTCTGCAGTGGAGACTTAAAGGGGCTACCGTGTCGTTCTCGCCTCCCCCACTTCATACGTGTGAGGGGGGGGGGCGTCCAAGGCGAGAAAGAGCGGCTGGCCCAAGGCCACCCACTGAGCTTTCACGGCAGAGTGCAGATTCGAACCTGGGTCTCCTAGATCCTGGTCCGTCACTCTTAACCACGCTGGCTGTCTCACCAGGTTCCCGTGTAACGGCAGAGCGGTAGGGCCCGCTCATGTTCCGTAGGGATAAGTGCTAGAAACTCGCAGTTTTTTAGCTCACAAGGAAGTGAGACTTTGGGATTATGAATTTTATGGCTAGAAGATTTTATTAATTTGCTTCATTTATACCTTGCCTTTTCTCCCCAGTGGGGACCCCATAGCGGGCTTACATTGTTCTTGGTTTTATCCTCACAGCAGCTCTGTGAGGTAGGTTAGGTTGAGTGTGTGTGACTGGGCCAAGGTCACCCAGCAAGCTTCCCTAGGCAGAGTGGGGATTCGAACCCATGTCTGGTCCGGTGTCCATTTATTAACCCTCGCCCCCTTCTCCAGAAGCTGGAATGTCTTGATAACAAAGGCTGGACCGAGCACAATCCCTAACCCACCCTTTCCATATTGCACTCCTTGTCGGAAATGAAGGCTTGCTGTAGGCAAAGACCCAGTGTAGGCAGAGAGCCAGTTTGCTGTAGGCAAAGACCCAGTCTGGTGTAGTGGTTAAGTGCGCGGACTCTAATCTGGGAGAACCGGGTTTGATTCCCCACGCCTCCACTTGCAGCTGCTGGATGACCTTGGGCAAGCCATAGTTCTGATAAGAGCTGTCCTTGAAAAAGAGCAGTTTCTGTCAGAGCTCTCTCAGCCCCACCCACCTCACAGGGTGTCTGTTGTGGGGAGGGGAAGGGAAAGGAGTTTGTAAACCGCTCTGAGACACCTTTGGGTAGTGAAGGGAAGGGTGGGGTATAAATGCAATCTTCTTCTTCTTCAGTGGGGGGTGGCTGCTGTGATCCCTGGGAGTGGAGACGGCCTGACCGTTCAGGGGCTCAGCCACGCAGGTGTGTCGTGCAGCGGTTAGAGTGTTGGGCTCAGCCTGACGTCATAGCCCTTGCCGTGGCAAAACTCCTCCAGCAGCCTCAGGCCAGTGGGTCTCCCTCCTCCCCGCCTCACAGTTTTATCGTGAGCATAAAGTGGGGGGCAGGGAGACTCACGTAGCCCCTTGGGGATCCTCAGAGGAAGGGCCGGGTGCAGGTGTAATCAAGCGCAATAAAAGGGACTCCAGCAAGCGGGGCAAGGGTGGGGTTTTGTCTTCCGTGGGTAACGCACCGTCTCCTTTCACCCGGTTCTGCAGGCCCAGTCTCAGGTGTTCGGAGGGGTCACCTATTATAACACGTTTCAGCAGCAAGTCCAGCCAAAGCCGTCTCCTCCCCGAAGAACCTCCCAGCCCGTCACCATCAAGCCCCCTCCCCCCGAGGTACCTGTCGCGCGGGCCCCCACCCGGCGTGACTCGGTGGTGTGATCCTGACTGTGCACCCCCACCCCCACCTCCGTGAGCGGGATTCCACTTTTCCTCCCCCCATTTGCGAGAAATGCTCCACCTGTCTCTTGTTTTTGATGTATTGCAAACTCTAGATTCTCGTTGCAGGTGGTAAGCAGGGTTCCCGTTAACGTTTCTAAACACTTTTGAAGGTGAGCATAGATGTTAAGTCCACAGTTGATGCTTGGACCCTCCTTATTAATAACCATCAATACCGTCACACTCTAAATTCCGTCTTGTTAGTAAATTGCAACTTTGCTAGATGATCCGTTACTTCAGTATCAAGTTGGTTGCGTCTGTTGTGGAGAATGGGGGGGGGACAATCATTCTTAAAAGTTTTAGACAACCTTTTCTGGGCCATATTAAAACACGATTCTACCATCTTAAAACAATATTCACCAGCCCCCCCTGAACTGTTCTTGACATGCCGGCTTTCCATATGTGGTTTGGGGTGGCTGTTTTTAATATGGAGGAGCATTTAGTCCTGTGAGCCTCCAGTTGCAGTCAGAAGTGGCACAGCCCTGACACAGATTGCCCTTCTCGGTAAGGACAAGGCCGTAGTGAGCTGTGCATTCCTGCACAGACAGGCAAGAGGGTGTCCCGCCTTAAAATTCCTGACTTGCTCGGTAACCTTGAGGATCCGCTCCGGAGTGCCCGGTCTTGAGTAGCCATGTTTTGCTCAGCCAAGAAAGGCTCCCGCTGGGGCGGTTGATGTCTCCTCCAGCCCCCTCTCTTGATAGGGTAAATCCCAGCATTGTGGGCAAGGTGTGGCCAAAATGGCAAGGGTGTGTCAGGTTATGGCAAGGAGACTTGTATTTCCTTGTGACCAGTGTTCTCTCTAAGCTGAGATAGCGTGAGCTAGCTCACAGTTTTTTTAGCCTCCGGCTCACACGTTTTCGTCTTAGCTCAGGAAGGATGGCTCCAGAGCAAACTGATTTTATGCAGTAGCCAAATCGCTCGCTCACCACTTTAATGCCAGTAGCTCAGAAAAGGAGAATTTTTGCTCACAAGACTCCACAGCTTAGAGGGAGCATTGACCCTTGCAAATTGCACTTTTCCAGTGAGGAGGCATTGCTGGAAGGCGTGGCCGAGTCCCAGAGTCCTGAAAAACGGCAGTGGCTTCCAGCCCCTCTGCCTCAAGGGAGGACACCTTTGCACGTCTCCGTGTTAATCCCTGCATCCTGTTTCCCTGTCACTGGAGAGTTCCAGGATAGGTTCTAGGGCACGCATATACAGGCACAATCCAGGCCTGTTGATTGCCAGGGGGAGCTTTCTTTCAAGGCCGCGTCTCTGCCTTTACCAGCCTTTTTACTGATGAGCCCTTGATAAACTTTGGCAGAACCTCCCTCGGGTTTCTTGGCACACAATCTGAAACCACTGAAGGGCTTTGAAACTTGAAGGGGGTGGGTGCAGATGGAACAGGCTTTTGGGGGGTGGGGCGGAGGTCATCGTGCAAAGAGCTTGGATTTAACCTGCTGTGATGCAAAACATCAGGTTTAGGAGCTGGCAATGCCCGAGTTGAATGCCTAATGCTAAAGTCCTTTAATTTCCTGTCCTCTTTCCCCATTATTTCTATCCAGGACAGCAGAAATGAAAAATCGAAAGAGAGGAGCAACACCTAAGGACTCTGCGTTTTGCTGGTTTTCAGTGAGGTGCCAGGGCTGGCATCTAGGGCAGGCAGAAGGCATCTCCCGGGCGCGGAGCCCTTCCTTTCCCCTTGGTTAACAGGTGATGCAAGCGGATGCAGGCGCTCCTGCCGTGCCAAACCGTGTCAGTATTGAGATTGGGGCCAGGTTGTCCGTCAGGAGAGCATCAGCGAAACTCGCATCTCTTTGCAGCCCCCGCCCCGGAGGATGGTGAAAAGACTTGACTGGGGTGTCAAGGTGTATCTGCTCACAGAGAGGGGGAAATGGTTCTCCTTGTTCTGTTCTCTTCCATGTGTATTGGGTCGTCCCCGTCCGCCCCGCCCGGTGTTGAACTAAAATTTCCCCAATTCTTCCTTGTGTTGAACTTCCCATTTTGAAGAACTTAACTTTGCTTCTCCCCCCCCCCCCCCCCCCTTCTGTTAAACCGGTCGTTTGCTTTCTTGAAGTTGGCATGACTCTGTTCTCCATGGCCGTCCCTCCCCAGTGATAACAATTTTTAAAACAAGTCATGTGTTTTTTTTGACGTGTGTTCTTAGGTTCTTGCATTGAAATTTATCACGGGGTCTGGGAAAAGAGCCGTTGAATCGGAGAACACCGTGTGTGTGTGTGTTTCTTGCCAGTTACCACTTTTTACTTTGGGGGAGTCCGTCTGGGTTAGAATAAGCTCCAGCAGCAGCAGTTGTCTCGATGCCCTCAAATTCTTCATGCTCTCCGATTGGCTTTCTTAGCCACAACCTAATTCTAGCTCCACCCCTCCGCCCCAGACTAAACATCCTCGAATAAACCTACACCCATGTGAGGAACAGGTAAGTTGGTCTCAACCAGCCCCGATGCTGGCCCTTTTTTTTTTGGGAGCGCTGAGCGATTCCTTGCAAGTTGCCAGCTGGCTCAGTGGCCCCCTTCGCAGTGTCGGTCTTGCCAGCCCAGCTGCATGGCTTCTGTTGACTTTTCTGCAATTGGTACCTTTTTTTGTTCTAAATTCAGTTTCTGAACTACGCAAGGGAGGCAACGCTCGATTGACCAACCTTCGGCTACGTGTCCTGGCTGAAGGAAGTATCTAGGATTGGCGTCAGCTTAAAGTTTCTGACCCGTCTGCTTCTTATGGATAGTCGTTTCATGCACGTGTAAGTTTCCTAACTTCAAGCACCAGGGGCCAGTGAACTTCCTTTGTTGAAATCCACTAATCCTTTAAAGTTTTAATTTTGAACAAGTACAACTGGCATTTTTGAAGGGGAAAAGCCCCTTTATGTTCTCAGTGTATTTGGTCCCCATCTCCCCCCCCCCCCCGCCTTAACGCTTGAACTGTAACATATCAGTCTTGGAAATTTTTAGACCTAAACACACTGTGATGGCTAATTTGTTTTTGTTAATAAATTTGTTTTTTGTTCCCGTTCTCAGAGTGCACGTTTCGTAAACGGCATTGTTAACTTGCTTGCTGGAGATGATATAATAGATGGTAGAAATAACTTGGTATTAGTCTCTTGCTTCATGCGCCTCTTAGAATCCTAGTTTGCATAACCAGAGTAACTCTGTCGCTGCAGACTGATGTGAAAAGTTAACATTTTCATGCACGTGCTGGGTGTAACATGACTTCGAAGATGATGTTCTCAGTTGGGACTTCTAACAGGGGCCTCAGAGTTTCGAAAAGGAGATAAAAAGGTGAGCTGGTAGCTTGTTTAGAGCGAGGTTTGGGGAGGGCTGGTGTGGGAATCTTCTGTGGGGTAGGGCTGCGTGCAGCGCTGAAACTCTGCTGTTGGTGTCTGAAAGCCTTTGCCCCAGTTCCTTTCTAGTGTCTGGGACTGTCACAGGGGTCTTGCGTCAGCTTCCACTTTTTTCTTCCAAACTTAATGCAGCATAGAAACTTAACTACCCTTAAACATCCAACACACAAAGGTCAACTCTGTCTTTCATGCCAGCATCTCTTGGTTGGACTGGCAAAGAAAAGCTCCAGCAATTACAGGTATGGGAGAACTGTTTTATGTTCCCAAGACTTCTTTCAACGTAAGTTGCTGAGACGTATTGGATTCACTGATGTGTGGTCCAGCCTGTGAGAAAGGGACTGGATTAAGGGGCCTGCAAAGAACAGATCAGTTTTAATCACTGAATTGGCAGTGCAGCCAGGAGAGGGCGCCATAATTCAATCCAAAGACCCTTCCTGTTGGCTTTGCACTGAGATCTACAGAGGCTGTTCTGAAAACCTGATTTTTGCAAATCTGGAATCAAACCAGCTCCAAATCTTTTTTTTTGGGGGGGGGGGTTTAAAGGAAACATTCAGAAAGGCACGCGAGACCATTCTCCCGCTCCAGCTAGTCTGGTCTGGCCCTGTAAGGTTGCCAGGACAGGAGACTGCCTGCCATTCATAGGAAAGCCATTTGCAGCAATTGTGGTGGTACAATAAAGCAAAATTTATGGTTGCGTTTGGGGTTTCTTGGTCTCCACTGAGAAACAGGGATGTTCTCAGACACCTGCAGGCATCAGTAAGATAAGCAGGAGGGGCAGATATTAGGAAGGGAAGGCAGGGATAGATGAATATGGACTTTAACCTGGGTTTCAGATGGTCTTGACCTTGCTTGCCTTTAGGCATTGCATGTTTGCAGCCTCAGTTTAGCCATCTCTAAAATAAAGCCAATGGGGGGGGGGGAAGATGACAGGTTCTGCAAAGAGGACACTTCCTCTTTTGGGGTGGAGTCTGCACAATAGGGCGATGATCGATCTGGCTCTCTTAATACATGAATATATATTGGCCCCAGCTCGTGTCTTGACAGCTTGCCACAAACGTTGGGGCTACCCCACGGAGGAAGGAATAAAGTCAGTGGTTGAACATGCTGCTGTGGCAGTAACTGGTACTGCATGGGGGAGGGGGGCAAGTACTTCTAACTGACCTAGTTAGAGTTGGTTAAGGTGCCTTCTCTTCCTAAAATGCTCTCGCGACTTGAGGGAAAATATGACTTTCAGTAATTTGCCCCTGGGGCTTGTGTTGGCACTTGCAACTTGCCAGAACCTTAAGCATTTAAAGCAGACCTGTGCCCAGGTATCATGAGTTTAGAGAGTGGGTCCTTCTCCACTGATGCATGCTTCGTCTTCTTAACTCCCGGCAGCTCTCCACCAGAAGGCCTCTGAAAGGCAGCCCCGTGACCTTGAGGACATCTTTCTCTGTAGCCTGACAGAAGGCTGCAGTCCAAGATGACATCCATGCAAGAATCACATGTGCACGCGCCCTTCTGTAGGGCCACTTCCCCTTACGCCTAGCTCGAGCACGTGATGTGCCTCTGGGTCTGCTGCCCACCTGTCTGGAGCACACCTTTAATTTCTCCCCCCAAAGGCTGGACGGTGTGAGTTGTACGAATCCTGCAAAGAATCAGCTTGGGTTGGAGCTAATTTGGAATGGTCTCAAGACAAAAATCCCAGCGGGATTTCTACATTCTGCTCTCCAGGCTGTGTCTGCAGGCGTGGGTGGGACTGAGCTCTCCCACTCCTCTCTCTACCTTTGCTCTTGGCATGGAGGGAAATCTGCAAAACCTCTCCTGCGCGAGGAGGCGTGGTAGAAGGGACATTTATAAGCTTGGGGAATATCCTTCACACTAAGGATCGTTGCTGGCTGATCTGGACTTCTGTAGCCATCTGACTCATCATCGGCCTTATCCTTCACTGATTTAAAACGAGAGGGTTTCCCTCCCCCCACTTTTGGTTAACGATACGCTGGAAAAATGTATTTGTGCTGTCATGTGTTATCAATGTGAGCCTTGCCCACTGCTGTGCGTGGAATGGCTCTGCATGGCTCCTTATTGTTCACGAGCAGGCATTTGCATTCAGGAACGCTAGAAAAGAAATACACTTAATTTAACTTTTAGATGCTGGGCAGGGAGAGGGCTGAGCCCTGAGCAGTGCCATCTCAGCGTTTCACACCTACGACCCCCTTTAGAGGCATCTGAGAAAAGGCAAAGCAGGGACAGCATTTTGGGGGGTGGGGTGGGCAGGACGGTTCCCTGGGAAATGTAGATCATTGGAGCGTTTTGGAGTTCTGGTGGTACGAAAATGGGTTAATGCACAGGCACAGACGCTCTGTGAAAAGGAATTTCCTCCCCCCTCCTCTCTCTGAATGCCATGTAATTTGTCACTCCCACACATAGTCTGTTTGGCAAGTCGTCGCCAAGGTTTCACATGCGGCACCCGGCTGCTGGGCTGCCAGGAGAACTGAAAACTTGTGAATACAAAAGAAATGAGACAAAATGGAAGGGGAGAGGAGAGGAGGAGGCAGGCACTCTCCAGATACTGGCTCAGTAATTGCACAAAACCTCCTTACTATCTTTTTCGGGACTGCTGCAGCGTGGGGAGTGGGAGTCAGGAATGGTTTTAAGGATTACTCAGTGAAGCTGTAAAGCTGAACCACAGCCTGGTAACGCAAGCTGTGGTTGCGTGACCCCGGTTCAAATCATGTCACATCCTGGTTTGCAGTTTGTCCTGAACTATGTTCCAGACATACAGTTGGATCCTTCCTGCTTCTCCCCCCCCTTACTTAATCTCATTTAGTTACGCTCCTCTACAACATTCCCCATCCTGTAACATTTTTGGGTCATGCCAGGTCCCATGATCCCCGACATCGCCTTTTTGGATGGTCAAGGGGGGGAACCCTCCTTCCTTTTTCACCAGCAGAAAAGCTGGTTGGAATCCAGCCCAGAGATCTCAACCCTGGTTAAGGCTAAACATTGTATTTGGGCCTCTCGTGGTTCTGTAGTGGCCAAATGTTGCTTAAAAGAGCCAGTTTGGTGTAGTGGTTAAGTGTGCTGACTCTAATCTGGGAGAACCGGGTTTGATCCCCCACTCCTCCACTTGCACCTGCTGGTGTGACCTTGGGCAAGCCATAGTTCTGACGAGAGCTGTCCTTGAAAAAAGAGCAGTTTCTGTCAGAGCTCTCTCAGCCCCACCTACCTCACAGGGTGTCTGTTGTGGGGAAGGGAAAGGAGTTTGTAAGCCGCTCTGAGACTCCAACTGAAGGGGTGGGGCATAAATCCTATCTCTTCTTCTCTTCTTTTCTAAAAGGTGTTCATACCATCTTAGGGAGTTAAGATATTTTTACAAATGAGATATTTTTCAAAATGCCTGTTCTTTGGGACAACGCACAAACACACCTGACTTCTGGTTTTGGCAGCTCTGGGAAGCTAAGATATCCAAGGTGCTTCATTTTAACCCAAAAGAGGTGAAGTATTCCTGCCAGGAAGTAACTCAGGCCCAGCCTTTAGAACATAAGAGCCCTGCTGGATCAGATCAGTGGTCCATCCAGTCCAGCATCTTGTCTCACACAATGGCCAACCAGTTCCTCGGGAGGGCCAACAACAGGGCACAGAGGCAGAGGCCTTCCCCTGATAAGAACATAAGAAGAGCCCTGCTGGATCAGACCAGTAGTCCATCTAGTCCAGCATCCTGTCTCACACAGTGGCCAACCAGTTCCTCTGGAGGGCCAACAACAGGGCACAGAGGCCGAGGCCTTCCCCTAATAAGAACATAAGAGCCCTGCTGGATCAGATCAGTGGTCCATCTAGTCCAGCATCCTGTCTCACACAGTGGCCAACCAGTTCCTTTGGGCAGCCAACAACAGGTCATGGGGGCCAAGGCCTTCCCCCGATAAGAGCATCAGTAGAGCCTTGCTGGATCAAACTAGTAATCCATCTAGTCCAGCCTCCTGTCTCACACAGTGACCAACCAATTCCTCTGGAGGGCCAGTAACAAAGCATAGAGACGGAGGCTTTCCCCTGATGCTGCCTCCTGGCTCTGGGATTCAGAGGATGAGTGCCGCTGAATGTGGAGGTTCACCTCAGTCACCATGGCTAGTAGACCCAATGTCCTTGAATCCATCTAATCCCCAGTAAAATAACGTTTCAAGGTCAGCGGGTAGTATGTCTTCCCAGGGGACCTGGTTTTTCGGCATCACCCTGTTTATAACACTAGGTGTTAATTTCTGCAGAAGTCCCTGATCTTAGGTCGCAGTGTTTCTCCTAAACTAGCAGTTTTAGGAGCGCCTTAGTCCCTGGACCCCTTTGGTTGCAGTGACTTTAAGCAACTTTGGAGGTTTCTTTCCCCTGATCCAATGAGCGCTAGGAACTTCAAAAGGGAAAGCTGTGAGGTTCGATATTCTGAGGAAGCTGTTAATATTCTCTGTTGTAAATATATATGTAGTTGTCAGGTCACAGCTGACTTATAGCAACCACACATTTTCAATGTATGATTGCAGTTAACAATAAAGAAATTAAACAGAGCTGACCAAAGGGACATACATACCTTGTAAACAGTTTGCAATTACATTTAAAGATGTTTTATTTTTATTTTTTTTAATTCAAAATATAAACCGTTACAAAATAAAATGCAAACCGCAGCTCTATTAGATTAGGAGCAATTACATATTTAAATAGACTACCAATTAGTGAACAATGACCCTCAGGAATGGGAGACACTGTCTCACAAAGGGTGGTTCTAAGGCAGAGCGAGGAAGCCAGAGTGGTGGCCTCTAATCTGGAGAACCGGGTTTGATTCCCCGCTCCTCCACCTGAGGCCTTCTGGGTGACCTTGGGCTAGTCACGGTTCCCTCAGGACTCTCTCAGCCCCACCTGCCTCACAAGGTACTTGTTGTGAGCAGACGAAGGGAAGGCGATTGTAAGCTGCTCTGAGACTCCTTTAGGTGGAGAAATGCGGGGTATAAAAACCAATTCCTCCTCTTCTCCATTATTGATGATATGGGTTTGGTTTTGACAAACAAGTTGCTTACCTGTAACTGGTGATCTTCGAGTGGTCATCTGTGCATTCACACCCGTGGGATCTAGTGCACACGCGCTGGATCGATCAGCATTGTAGCAAGTTCTTAACAGATTTTCGTGCCCAGACCTCGGGCATGTGCAGGAACCCCACCACCAGAGGGGTGGGTGCAGACATCCCGCCAGTTCCTTCGAACCGCCATGAATCAGCCCCTATGAAAAATGTTGAAGCTGACAGCAGCAGGGAAGGAGGGCGGGTGGTGTGAATGCACAGATGACTACTCGAAGATCACCAGTTACAGGTAAGCAACCTGTTTATCTTCGACTTGGTCTCTGTGCTTCACACCCATGGGAGATTAGCGAGCAGTGGCCTACCTGGAGGAGGGTGCTGGCAGGTCCTTACTGCGTAGCCGAAGATAAAATGTGACGTCCCATGTTGGTACTAGAGTTCTTTCAGACGTCTAGAGCGTAGTGCCTTATGAAGGTGTTAGGCGTAGCCCACGTAGCGGCTGTGCAGTTGCCCATCAGGGAAACTCCCTGGAGGAAGGCAGTCGAGGCTGCAACAGCTCGGGTTGAATGGGCCCTGATAGGGGCAGGCAATGGCTGTTTGGCGATCAGATAGCTGAGGCGGATGAGACCCACAATCCACTTTGAGAGGCGCTGAACCGTGATGCGAGTCCCCAGTCTTGCTGGTGCGTAGGAGACGAACAGTTGGGAGTCACGTCTCATTGGACGGGTTCTGTTCAGGTAGAACAGCAGCGCACGTTTCGCATCCAATGTGTGTAACAGTCTGTCCTCTGAGGATGTCGGAGCCGGGAAGAAATCCGGGAGGAAGACCTCTGCCTGTAGGTGGAATTCTGACACTACCTTTGGTAGGAACGAGATGTCAGGTACGAGGCGGACCCCGTCTGGCAAAAA